CCTGTTTCCCTTCTTCCCTCTCCCTCCTTCCTCCCTGTTTCCCTTCTTCCCTCTCCCTCCTTCCTCCCTGTTTCCCTTCTTCCCTCTCCCTCCTTCCTCCCTGTTTCCCTTCTTCCCTCTCCCTCCTTCCTCCCTGTTTCCCTTCTTCCCTCTCCCTCCTTCCTCCCTGTTTCCCTTCTTCCCTCTCCCTCCTTCCTCCCTGTTTCCCTTCTTCCCTCTCCCTCCTTCCTCCCTGTTTCCCTTCTTCCCTCTCCCTCCTTCCTCCCTGTTTCCCTTCTTCCCTCTCCCTCCTTCCTCCCTGTTTCCCTTCTTCCCTCTCCCTCCTTCCTCCCTGTTTCCCTTCTTCCCTCTCCCTCCTTCCTCCCTGTTTCCCTTCTTCCCTCTCCCTCCTTCCTCCCTGTTTCCCTTCTTCCCTCTCCCTCCTTCCTCCCTGTTTCCCTTCTTCCCTCTCCCTCCTTCCTCCCTGTTTCCCTTCTTCCCTCTCCCTCCTTCCTCCCTGTTTCCCTTCTTCCCTCTCCCTCCTTCCTCCCTGTTTCCCTTCTTCCCTCTCCCTCCTTCCTCCCTGTTTCCCTTCTTCCCTCTCCCTCCTTCCTCCCTGTTTCCCTTCTTCCCTCTCCCTCCTTCCTCCCTGTTTCCCTTCTTCCCTCTCCCTCCTTCCTCCCTGTTTCCCTTCTTCCCTCTCCCTCCTTCCTCCCTGTTTCCCTTCTTCCCTCTCCCTCCTTCCTCCCTGTTTCCCTTCTTCCCTCTCCCTCCTTCCTCCCTGTTTCCCTTCTTCCCTCTCCCTCCTTCCTCCCTGTTTCCCTTCTTCCCTCTCCCTCCTTCCTCCCTGTTTCCCTTCTTCCCTCTCCCTCCTTCCTCCCTGTTTCCCTTCTTCCCTCTCCCTCCTTCCTCCCTGTTTCCCTTCTTCCCTCTCCCTCCTTCCTCCCTGTTTCCCTTCTTCCCTCTCCCTCCTTCCTCCCTGTTTCCCTTCTTCCCTCTCCCTCCTTCCTCCCTGTTTCCCTTCTTCCCTCTCCCTCCTTCCTCCCTGTTTCCCTTCTTCCCTCTCCCTCCTTCCTCCCTGTTTCCCTTCTTCCCTCTCCCTCCTTCCTCCCTGTTTCCCTTCTTCCCTCTCCCTCCTTCCTCCCTGTTTCCCTTCTTCCCTCTCCCTCCTTCCTCCCTGTTTCCCTTCTTCCCTCTCCCTCCTTCCTCCCTGTTTCCCTTCTTCCCTCTCCCTCCTTCCTCCCTGTTTCCCTTCTTCCCTCTCCCTCCTTCCTCCCTGTTTCCCTTCTTCCCTCTCCCTCCTTCCTCCCTGTTTCCCTTCTTCCCTCTCCCTCCTTCCTCCCTGTTTCCCTTCTTCCCTCTCCCTCCTTCCTCCCTGTTTCCCTTCTTCCCTCTCCCTCCTTCCTCCCTGTTTCCCTTCTTCCCTCTCCCTCCTTCCTCCCTGTTTCCCTTCTTCCCTCTCCCTCCTTCCTCCCTGTTTCCCTTCTTCCCTCTCCCTCCTTCCTCCCTGTTTCCCTTCTTCCCTCTCCCTCCTTCCTCCCTGTTTCCCTTCTTCCCTCTCCCTCCTTCCTCCCTGTTTCCCTTCTTCCCTCTCCCTCCTTCCTCCCTGTTTCCCTTCTTCCCTCTCCCTCCTTCCTCCCTGTTTCCCTTCTTCCCTCTCCCTCCTTCCTCCCTGTTTCCCTTCTTCCCTCTCCCTCCTTCCTCCCTGTTTCCCTTCTTCCCTCTCCCTCCTTCCTCCCTGTTTCCCTTCTTCCCTCTCCCTCCTTCCTCCCTGTTTCCCTTCTTCCCTCTCCCTCCTTCCTCCCTGTTTCCCTTCTTCCCTCTCCCTCCTTCCTCCCTGTTTCCCTTCTTCCCTCTCCCTCCTTCCTCCCTGTTTCCCTTCTTCCCTCTCCCTCCTTCCTCCCTGTTTCCCTTCTTCCCTCTCCCTCCTTCCTCCCTGTTTCCCTTCTTCCCTCTCCCTCCTTCCTCCCTGTTTCCCTTCTTCCCTCTCCCTCCTTCCTCCCTGTTTCCCTTCCTCCCGCTCCTTCCTTCCTCCCTGTTTCCCTTCTTCCCTCTCCCTCCTTCCTCCCTGTTTCCCTTCTTCCCTCTCCCTCCTTCCTCCCTCTCCTTCCTTCCTCCCTCTCTTTCCCAGCGCATTTTTTACGCGTGGACGTGTACGCCCAGTGAACGCCATAACGTGCAAATGGTCATATAAGAGATTAGCTTAAGAAGCCAAATGAAACCGGCGCCCATATTTGTATATTATTTCCAGAGTGTGATGACAGAGCAAATCTTGACACCTCTCGTGCCATTGCCTACTATTGCTCACTTCAGAATGCGTGAAAAGACTAAGACTAAGACTAAGAGTATGTCTAAGCTAACAGAGCCAAATGTTAACTATATCGTGCCTGATATACTCAAGGAGCTAATCCTCAGGTGAGATGAAGTGTGTACTTGTGCGTTTGTGTTTTTTATATATATACATATGTATGTTGTTAGAAAATATGAATTACATTGCGTATATATTAAACACGTGGTTTTGATACCCACTCTTTTTTTAATGGAATCTTTCTCATTTCTCATTGTTGCAAGACGGTATTAATGGGATGTAAATCCTAATTTATTCTTCATAATAGTCAAAAATATGTTATTCATTATTGTCACTGCGTCTCCATAAAATGAGTAAACTTTGCTACTTCGATGAATATCTATTTTTGTAACAGAAAAGTTGCATAAATATGTGAAATGTTTGGGAGATTCTTTACCCTAGGTTAGAGAACTTAACAGAACATGAATTAAATTATATTTGGTGTTTCTTTATCGCCGCGGCTAACTGGTGTATCCACGCATGGATTCCGAAAACTATTGCCAGGATAAGGGAAAAAAGGATGAATCAGTTGTCTTATTGAAATATGATACAAATAGGAATAGAACAAATCAATTACCTAGCAGTACAAGATTAAATATGACAGAATTCAAGGGGTATAAAATTAAGGGGTAAAAATTAAAGAAAGAAATATAGATTTTCATTTCAAGCAGGTCGATCGAGAACATAGTTTAAAAATCTGAAACCGATTGATTGCTGAGCACTGTAATATGTAGGAGGGGGGTGTCGATAGCCAGTAAGGAAAGGACTGATCGAGTTTTAAATGCAATTATTGCAAATGTACTACTGGGAACAACAGGATGCATAGTAATTCTAATGATCATAAAAAACAATAACTATACTGCTAATGATAATGCTATACAAATATATGGGTGGGGATACGCACCCCCCCCTCTTGGATTAATAATGCTGGGATTGTCTTCACATATGCGACAAGAAAAAAACGAGGAAAATCTTCAATCACAGCAGCATACCAATAAATGGGTGCACAAATACTAAAATCATCTATCATTCAGGATTTATTATCATTGTTGTGGTATCTCTCAAGATATTATTGTTATCATTTATAATTACCATTATTATTAACATTTTTTTGTCTCATAGTAACGGAGTATAGATAAGATATTCAAACTAAAATTTCAGTTGTAACCTTTTGATAAGACGAGTTGCCTGCGTAATAAAGGTCTATCAGCAAAGGAATTAAGTGATCTCACAGAAGGTAAAAAGATTAAGACGAGAAGCTGTGTTCTCAGTTTACGTGTTTGTTCAACTGTCCTTCTGTGAACCCCTTTCCCATATATGTATCTCTCTCTCTCTCTCTCTCTCTCTCTCTCTCTCTCTCTCTCTCTCTCTCTCCCTCTCTCTCTCTCTCTCTCTCTCTCTCTCTCTCTCTCTCTCTCTCTCTCTATATATATATATATATATATATATATATATATATATATATATATATATATATAATGAAGTTAATGAAACTGGTACACCCACCCACACAGCTTAATATATCTAATTACAACGCTAAAAGTTCCAAAACACCGGTTCTTATACATAACAACATCAACAAATATTTGTACAAGAGATAGCTACAGCAATCCTAATTACATGCACCCTTCTTAATAATCTTGTTATGCTGTGTTATTAGGTTGAGTTGGGAGGGGGGGAGGGGGGTAAAGGGGAAGGGAGGGGAGGGACTCGGGTATCCAAGGCACCTTACATAAACGCACACAGGAGTGAATACAAATACATACACGCAAACAAGCACTTACATAAAAAGGGATCTCCCCACACTTACAAATACAGACTCACAGGAAGTATACATCAACAGCTACTGTGGCACACACAGACACACACGCAAGCACCCATACGTAAACGCAGAGAGCAATGACACGAACACAAAGACACAATCAATAATGCGCTTGATGTATGCGATAAACTTTATTAGTGTAATATGCAGATTTCTTAAAATCTCTCAGGAGCATACATGCATGACTACATGCATGTATACACACACACACACACACACACACACACACACACACACACACACACACACACACACACACACACACACACACACACACACACACACACACCATACAATTACATACATACATATATATGTGTGTGTGTGTGTACTTTAACAGCACCTATATACCCATTACTACTTTCCGCAGCATTAACACCGTCAATAAAATCATCAGTACCTGGATGATAAGACATGATAATCTTTAATCCTCTGCTATAATGAAACCTTCGCTAATCCGGATTAATATCACGAGATAACGACTCCAAAGAGCTTCGCGTTTGTTTGAATCAAATTTCTTCGATTTTTTTTATACCTTTTTCATTTATTCTTCTTTTTTTAATCTTCAGCAAATCATTTATTTTAACTGTTATTTTCAAATTTGCTCTTCATATGTCCTAATCCCCCCCCCTCTTTCTACCGAGGTTATTTAATATGAAAGCTAATTCGAAAGACTATTTGCCAAAGAGACAACAAATAAGAGACAGAAAATGAAAATAAAAAAGGAAAAAAATTACATATAAAGAAAAAAATCTAAACAAAAGGAAAAAGAAAGAGGAAGAAGTTAGGAACCCCCCCTCTCCCCTGCCCCCGTCCCTCCTTACATCCGGGTACTACTAATGAGAGACTAAT